CATGCACTGCTCCTCCTCCACACTGGGGTCAGCCCACCGCTGCTTGTCCAAAATTATGAACGTGCACTCTGGAAAGGCAACATAAAAACACACAAACACAATGAAAATGCTTTTCTTGGCATTGCTTTCCTATCATGTCTACTGACGGCTCCTCACTGTCGTCATCTTCCCTCCAGCTCTTCTGCATGTCGTACTCCTGATCCAGGGTCAGCGGCTCTGAAGCGGTCAGCTGCTGCAGCTCCGGAGACTTCATCCACTCATGATACCTGGATGAAGTTAAACTCACTTAATAAAGACGCCCAGGAAATATGAAATAACAAAGACAGCTGGTTACTATGATCAAACTAAATTACTCAGAAATTGAAACATTTGCTGTAATAATAAAAAATAAATAAATAATGGGTTGAGAAAAATCTATTATTGCCAGAATTAATTATGAACTATATGTTTTAATACAGATATGATATGGGAGGTACTTGTGATTTTGCTGTGAAAAAGGCTATAATAGAAGACAGCTGTGGCAGATATGCATCTTGCTTCTGGCTCAACCTGTTCAGGAGTTCTCCAGCTGGCTATGTCAATAAAACTGCTGCATGACAAACTATTTAACTAACTTTTACAGCCACACTCACATGTAAAGAAGCATCCGATGGAAAAACAAACGATGAGCTGAATGAGAACTCAGAGAAAAACATCTGCATGACTGTGCGGCTCAGTCATTTTATTTCAGTGTTATATGACAGGTTATCTCTAACATTAATTTAGGGGGATGACCAGTTTAGAAACACTCTTATAGTGCAATACATCTTAACGAGTTGCAACACAATAGTTAATAGTGCAAAAGCAGAGAAAAGGCTAAGATTATGCCTCCTTTTTGCAGGTTTCACACTTCGCAAAGCCTTTGAAAGACCACGTATTTGATACCTCTGCCTTAAAACATACTCTTTACTAAAGACAAATAATGTGTCATTAAGCAGTAAATATGACCTGAACGGATTAATCTTTATTCTTTGTATTGCCTTTCCTTGTGCAGTTGTAAATGCTATTGTAAACAAATGTTTTATACTTAGCACTAAAAGACCGTCACATAAAGAGACACACACATTGTAACAAAATGTGGTGATAAGAAGAGGAATAAAAGGGGGAGAGGACAGTAAACAGCTGTGATGCGGGGATCGCTTCCACTAACAGCTGTTCACGTTACCTGGGCACGTGGTTTACGTTGTAAGGAACCAGCACGACTCTGTGTCCCTCCAGTAAAGTGTTCTCGTTTATCTTCATGGCATCAAACCGCTGATGAAGCTGTAATAACTTTAAAAGCGATCCACGTTTCTGCTCAGACACCGCTTCCGCATACACGCTTCCTGCAGCTGCGCACAGGAGTCACACAGACAGGAGGCGCCACCTGCCGGACAGGATTAGGAAGCACGAAAGGCAGGGAGGTTTTGTTTTGTTTTTTCAGAACTTTATTTGAAATTGTAAAGTGAACAGTCAATCATTCCAGTTCAGTTTGTACAGTAGACATTCAGGCAAATAAGAGTAACAATAAGCAATACAATGAAAATGAAAATAAGAAGGGTAAATAAATAAATAAAGAAGAAAAAAAGGGATGTGACAGACTTCATAGTAGCTTTGTGCTTGAAAATTGTATCTGTGACAGCTCATTTGTTGAAAATTTCTGGATGAATTTCAATTAATGATAAACCTTTT